ACCGCCCACACAGTCTTTCCGCCGTAGGTGGGATGACAAACGCCAGAATCTAGTTATTGTATATAATAAATATAGATTATTATAATATTATAGTTACCTGACACATTGATAAAATCAGGATCAACGTCTGAATTGTCTATTTCAGAATCAGAATCCAAATCAGAAAATTCGAAATCTGAGTTGACTAAAATATTATCGATTTCTTTGTCTGTCAGAGCCATTACAAACACAAAATAACTCAACAAATTAAATTAAATTAAATCAAATAATGTCATATATTAAAGTTTAAACAAATTAATAGTTGCGTAGATACTAAATAACATAAATATTAAATAGGTAGTTAAAATAGTAACAGTTAAATGTAGATATATTTATTACCAAAACTTATCAAAAGAAAAATAATCATTAATTCATATCACCACGAAGACGTAAATATAAAATGCTATAACTCGGGCGGGAAAAATATTACAAGAGTGCTATTGATACCAACTGATAGTGGCTACACTGTAGAATACTATTCTGGTACTAATGTCTTGTAAAATGAGACTCAAAACGAGATATCAAATAAAATAAACTGTTACGCCTGAGATCCAGAATTGAATCGCATGGCAGTCAATGAAAGTTTAGTGAGCTCCCGAATTGGGTCTCATGGCAAGATTGGCAAGTTTATAAAAAACAGCATGGCAGTCAAGTTGTTTTAAATTTCAAAATATTTTAAGTGATAATTACTAATCTTTATTATAATTTTTAAGCATCATATTAGTATTTAGTACGTTAAGGTTAATTGTATTATCAGTAGTGATAAGGTTCTTATCATAGCTCGTTGCGCAACCATATCTTTAATCGTGCTAGAAACATTTCGATTTTTGGCTCCTGGTAGAAGCTATGAAGAACTTATGTTTTCATGTGCGATATCTGCTCAAGCTCTGGGAAAAATCATTCTTAAGACTTGTTGGGCATTATATGAAATATTAAAACAAAAATATCACAAGGTTAGTAAAAACATGTAAAATATATATCATAAATTATACGTCATCCTTATTGAGACACCCACCACCTAAATTTATTTTATTGACCTACATAATGTATAATATCTTCACCACATACTAATGTATTTACTTATTATAGCTAGATTATAGACAAGCTAAAACTGTTGACCTTGGGACTTGGTAATGCTTTATTTATAACATGTTTTGTTTTAGATTTATTAGATTTAAATCATTTATATAAGTATATAACTATATAAGTGTAATGATTCATATATTTATCAATATTTATTCTTGAATCCAACAAATACCTTATTTGGAGTTTGGACCATGAACATTAAACATAATACATATTTTAGATGTAACAATAACATATAAATAAAAAATATTAAATTCATATTAAAAATTAAATTAATGTTAAATTTTGATAATAAAGTACTTTTTGTTGAAAAATATTGTATAACTCTTTCAATGTTTGGTTCACAGTCTTGCTCACATAATGACATAATTATCATTAAATTTTCCAACCTGTCTTCTGTCATAGTACTCTTTAATTTGGTTTTAACCAGTTTCAACTTCTAAAACGATCGCCCGACACTGCAGCTGGATACGGGTAATATAAAGGTGCGTGACGCTGGCACCCGCAAGTTTGAATTTCAACTCAAAAACCACATCAGTAATTGTTATACAATTTGTACAAATTTGTAACCACAATTCCAAAATTTGTACACCCCCCGGTCATCCGTAAAATCCAAAAACAATTTCCGGGTGCCAGCATCACGTGACGCTGGCACCCGGATTTCGATGTATTTGGCCTATCGACCCAAAAACCAAAACTGAAGTACACAACATAGTTGAAATAATTTATTCATACTTCCTGAGTTTTTAATATTAATTCTATCACTGGTAGATGCTTCATCTTCATTGTCACTTTTATCTTCATCTAAATCATCAAAAAACTTTTCAGATTCATCAGAACCCTGATTGGGAGCTTTATGATTATATTCTGGTAGTGTTACTGTATTTTCAAGTTCTAAATAGTTTTGAAAAAAATCCATATAGTTTCTAATAAGTGCATCATGTTCTAAAAATTCTTCATACAACTCAACAACTTGTTTGAAAGCATCTTTAGGTAAAGAATTAGGCAAGAGCCTAACTTCAACGATTCTTGATAATGGATTTGACCATTGTTCATTATGCCCTCAAAAATTTGAGTTATGTCAAGCCAAAAAAAGAATAATGTCAATAAGTTCTGATATAATTTGCCTATTGGTTGCAATCTGTATTTTTTTTTTTGATATTCCATACACGGAAGTAACGGCACACAGTGATTTTCTATTTTAACTTTAATTGTTGCTGTTACATGTTCAGAGGATAGCTCATGTTTGTTTATTCGACTTTCTCCATTCATCCAAGTTGAAAATCCTATATTTGTCCAGGACTTAGCTGATACACTATGTGTATTTACACCGTACAACAAATAATGCAACAAAATAGGTCTAAAAAATATATTATGGAGGACTAGCTGGGTGTGTAATGGTGTAATAGCTCGAACAGCAGTGGTCGGGATCGCCTAGCAATTACTGTCGGCTATGTAGTGCTTGTTGTGGATTATCTGTATTTGTGTATTAATGTGTATGTGGGTGTGTGTACAATAAAACAAATAATAATAAAATGGTAATACGGTTTCTGGTAATAAGTTGCTGTTGCAGTATAATACACAATAATAATAATAATAATACAAATATATAATAAAATCACAGCAATATAAATGTATAAAAAATATGATAGTAAATAAATATATAATAATTAGTGCACAGCTATTATAGCCAGCAGCATAAACAATATAATAATATTAGGTAATGCACGACCCTTATGGCCGAACTGAATAAATTACAATAATATTAAACAGCCATTCTGGCCCTATCGAAACAATATAATAAAATAATACGGCAAACTTTATGAGCTGCTACTGATAATAAATGATGTGACCCTTCTGGTCCAACAATATAGAAGGTGAATAATAGTTAAAATATATTAAATAAAGGTGTGGACCTTATGGCCAAACAGAATAAATATAAATTGACCAGCTCTTTAAGCTGTTAGCTCTTATGAAGGTATATAAAAATTATATTCGGCGTATAACAAATATAATAATAATAAGTGACGATTCACACACTTAAAAATCCTACCTACACATAATCCCCAAACATCATTTTGGCTTCAAAACACAATATTCTACATGCCACCAGTTACAACGCATATCGGAAATAATAGTACATGGCTTTGAAAACAAACAATACACAACAGCAGTTTTCCTAGATTTAACCAGGCCTTCGACAAGGTCTGGCATAAAGGACTAGTAAAAAATCTAAAAGCACTAGATCTCCCAGCGTACCTATTTAAAACCATATTATCATTCATATAAGACAGAACTTTCCAAGTTAGAATAGACACTGACTTATCACTAAGACACAAAATAAAATCTTGTGTCCCACTAGGATCAGTCTTGGGGCCAACCCTCTTCAATATCTACTGCTATGATATTCCCAATCCTTCCAACTCTCAACTATCAATGTTCGTTGATGATACGACAATCCTTACACAAGACAGCTCTATAGACTCATCGATACAAAATCTTCAATCCTCATTGAATGAAATCACTTCCTGGTTAAAAAATGGAAGCTGTACCTCAACCCAACTAAAAGCGCGGCTAAAATATTCACCCTTAAAAGGTACAAAGATCCTGAAAGCATCTACATCAATAACCATGCCTTACAGTGGAACAGAAACGATGACTCGGTAAAATATCTTGGCGTTTTTCTAGGTGAAAAACTCTCATGGAACATCCACATAAATAAAAAACTCACACAGGGCTATGCCGGAATGAGAATGCTCTAACCCTTAATACATTTTAAATCTACACTTCAGATAAAATCGTCACTTCTTCTGTACACATCAATAATAAGGCCTTTGATATCCTACGCCTGTCCTGTAATGGGCAGCCGCGTCACCTGCAAAAATAAAAAAGTTACAAATTTTTGAGGATTTGCCTTAAAGCTCCGTGGTTTATGAGAAACAGCCAAGTCCACAATGACACAGGTATACCCTTCATTAGTAAATGGATAATGACGCAACTCCAAAACTTTCACGCCAATCTAAAAAATTCGGACGGAGCTCGTCACTACAACCTAGGGAAAAAAACACGCAATAGACGCCTGCGACCACGACTCCCCCAGGACATTCTCCAAACGGATGGCGAAGATTCATCATCAGAAGCCCCATAAAAGAACACACCTATACTTACACTACATGTATATATTTAACCATAATCCACTCATTCACTCATGTGCATCAATATAAATAATCATGTACTTAGTATAAAATAACTCATTTTTTTTTTTTTTTTTTTTTATTGTTACAGCATCAACATCATGGTTATTAGCTTACAATAATTAGATTATAATATAGTTATACATAGGGGGTTTTTACAATGATTATTAAAGAGAAAAGGGGGAAAAAGAATGATAAATAAATATAAACACAGATAAAAAAAAAAAAAAAAAAGATAGAGTTAAATTAAGTTGTACATTTCAATTTTTTTTAAAAATGTGATAATTTTTTGTATGTCAGCATAGGGTCCTATGGCTTCATATAGATTGTCTGGTAATTCGCATTCTTTTCTGGCTTCCATGAATATTTGGCAGTGGATGATGATGTGTTTGATTGTAAAGGAAGTGTTGCAAGAGCGGCATATTGGTGGTTCGGTCTTTTCCATTAGGTATCCATGAGTAACTCTCGTGTGACCAATTCTAAGTCGGTTCATAATGACATCTTCCTTTCGATTTGAAGAGTTGAGTTTTGGCCAAGGTTCGACTGACTGTTTGATTTCCCTTAATTTGTTTTCGGTAACTTGACGCCAATCTGAGTCCCATAATTGTATACAGTATTTGTCAACGTTCCTGATAATATCTACTGGCGACATAAGAGAAAGTTTTATGGAGTTGGGGTTACTTATAGCATTTCGGGCTGCTTTGTCTGCTTCTTCGTTTCCTTTGATATTGCAGTGACCCGGAGTCCATATAAAAGTATGTATTTATTCGATAAATGTATTATATTTTTTATCTTTATGACTAAGGGATTGATCTGAGAATTATATTTTATATTTGACAGAACACTGAGTGAGTCGGAACATATGTCGATTCTGTCATAATTAGTATTAACAGCTGTTTGGACTCCTTTTAAAAGTGCTATGTATTCAGCTGTATAAATGCTGCTATGACTATTTAATTGGAATATTTGAGTGGAACTTTCATGTATAACAGCCAAACCTATGCCTGTTGACGTTTTAGATGCATCTGTATAGATTTGTGAATTATTATGGTTATCCGTATGAATTAGTTCATTAAATAAATTTCGATAGACTATTTCGGGTGTTTCTCTTTTTACATGGGCACTAAGACTGGTATCAATTTCGAAGTTGTGTACACTCCATGGAGGAGTGAGACAAGTTTCATATTGAAGGATTGTATCAGGGGAGATGTTGTTGTCGGACATTTCTTTGCAAAGTCTTGTACTTAGTGGTTTTCTGCGATTCGTGTTTAAATCATATACAGATGAAGATTGGTTTATGTTTAAATAATGGATAGTTGAATTATCAGGAGTCGACAAAATTCTGGTTATATATTTGAGTGATAGTCTTAGTCTGCGATATTTAAGTGTAGGCTCCCCAGTGATGGCTAATAAGCTGGAGATAGGGCTACTTCTGAAGGCTCCAGTTGCACATCTTATACCAGTGTTTAAATTGGGTCAAGAATTTTGGATATATTACAATTCGAGTTTCCATAGCAGATTGAGCCGTAGTCAAGTTTTGATCTAACTAGTGATCTATATAAATTTAATAGAATGGAATACTCAGCACCCCACTCTAGATGACTAACAGTTTTGATTACTCTTAGGTTTTTGTAGGCTGATTTTTTGGTTTTCAGAATTTGAGGTTTCCATGTTAATTTAGAGTCAAAGGTAAGGCCAAGAATAGTAATGTTTTCAGTAAAAGGTAGACAGATGGTATTCAAATAGATTTTGGGTTTGGTTATGTTCTTTTTGTTGGAAAAAAGGATACATTTTGTTTTGTGTGGAGAGAAAATAAAGCCTGAATTATGGCACCATTTTGACAGTTCATTGAGGCAGTTTTGTAGTACTCTAGTTATTGAAGGGATTGAATTTCCTCTAACGTAGATGTGTGTATCGTCAGCAAAGATAATTGATTTGATTGGTTTTGGTATGAAGTCAGGAAGATTGTTGATGGCGGTTTGAAATAAGAAAACACTGAGCGGAGATCCTTGAGGTACTCCATTTTCTAATACAAAGGTATTAGAGGTGTAATCGCTGAATTTTAATTGAAAAGTTCTTTGGCTTAGGAAGTTAGTTAAGTATCTTATCATATTATCGTGAATGTTCCATTTTTTTAGCAGTTCGATCACTCTGTAACGCCAAACAGTGTCGTAAGCTTTTTGTAAATCTAAGCTGATAAGAATCATCATTTGTTTATTAGCCAATGTTTCCAGTATTTCTGATTCCATTTTTACGTGGCAGTCGGTGGTGGAATGGTGCTTTCTGAATCCGTGTTGAAAGGGTGATAGAAGTTTATGTTTATTCGCAAACCAATATAATCTGTTGTATACTATTTTTTCTAATAGTTTGATCATGCTGCACAGGACAGAAATTGGTCGGTAACCGGTTGGCTTAAATCTATCATTGTTTTTTTTGGGTATGGGGGTGATAATAGCATTTTTCCATTTGATTGGTAATATCCCTGAACGCCAGATCTGGTTGAATAGTTTAAGTAGTAGGAGGTTGCCACTTGGGGGTAAGTTTTGTAAAAAAATAAATGGGATTTTGTCTGAACCACAACTGTTGCTCTTTTTTCCTAGTAGACCTGTATTTAGTTCACATAATGTTATCGGTTCATTTAGAATGTCTCCTAAGCTTTGGTTCTCATATATGAAATAAGAATTATTAGTTTCTGTTTCTTGTTTATGTTTTAGGAAATCAGAATTTAAGTTGGCGTTGCTGCTATTTGAATAAAAGTGATGGCCAATTGATTGAGCTATTGTGTGGGGTTCGGTATGAGTTGTATTGCCTGTTATAATGGTTTTAATTTGTACCGATGGGATCCCTTTTATGATTTTGACTTTGTTCCAAATTCTTGTAGCTGATTCTTTTGAATTTAGTGTTGAAGTGAAATTTATCCATGATTTTTTTTTTTCATTTTTGATTAAAAATCTTACTTGTGCTTTGTTTTTTTTAAAATCAATAAAGTCCTGGATTTGTTTTGTGCGTTTATATTTGTTATACGATGTCTTCTTATTTCTTATAGCGTGTTTAATATCCTTATTCAACCATGGGACCGGGGGTCGTTTTCCAGAGTAGCTATATTGTTCAAAGGTATTTGAGGCTGTATCATAAATTAGTTTACTAAATTGTTCAATGTTTTCATCAATAGTACTTTCATTAGGAAAAGATGAATTTCTTAGATTTTTTTCGATTTCCGTTTGGAAGATGTTCCAATCAGCATTGGATAATTTCCATTTAGGGTTACGAGTGTGTATTTCATAAGGGTTGGTATAACATAACGTTATTTTTATTGGAAAGTGATCACTACTAGAAAGCTCAGGAATGATGTCCCATTCTAAATTGGGTGATATTGTTGCGGAGGAGAAGGTTAGATCAATCGCGGAAAGGTTGCCATTACTAGAGTTAACTCTAGTTGCTTGGCCATTGTTGAGAATGTTGATGTTATTGATATTAAGTATAGTTTCGATTTTGGTACCTCTATGGTCGGTGACATTACAGCCCCACAGAGTGTTGTGGCTATTGAAGTCACCAAGAATGATAAATGGGGTGGGTAGTTGATCAATAATATTTTGGATATCAGAAGCGTTGAAGTCTTGAGAGTTTGGTAAGTAAATATTGCAAATGGTTAAATTGCTTTTGGCTGTCATGTTTACAGCTATTACCTCAAGATGTGAGGATATGGTAATTTCTTCCGAAGGAAAAATATTGTTTATAAAAATGGCCACTCCACCGCTAGCTCTGCCTGCGTGATTTCTATTTTTAATATAACTAGAATAGTTATTTAAATGAATTGATTTGTGGTTGTTGAAATTTGTTTCTTGGAAGCATAGTGCTATTGGAGAGAATTTGTTGACTAATAGTTTAATTTCATCGATTTTTGAATAGAATCCATTAGGATTCCATTGAATGATGTGGAATTTGTTTAAGTTTATGTTCTGCATAATGATTAAAAATAAGGTTTTTTTTTTTTTTTTTTACGTTGATTTTTGGTTGGTTTGGAATTATTCTGTGGAAACAGGATCTCCGGATACAGTTGAGTCTAATATTATTTGGTATAATTTTGAAATCCTGTTTTTAAAAGCTGTATTCTTGATGTTCGGGCGGATAGTGTCAATGATTACAATCATTTCCATGGCTGATAAGTTAAAGGGTTGTATGATACTCATAGGGTTGGGTACACCTATTGTGTTTTCGATGATAAATTTTAGTTGAGTAAAGTTTATTTTTAAATTTGGTATTGTTTCAAATACGATTTTTGCTGGTTCAAGGGTTTGATCCAGCTTTAATATGATCTGTTCCAATGAATTTGATCTTTTTTGTTTTTTTAATTGTGGTTGGGGAGTTTTCGCGGAATCTAGTAGCTTGTCTGACAGAGTTACCTTCTTTGGTTGTTGAATTTGCGTGTTGATTTGAGATGAAGAGCTATTAATTTGGTTATTAACGTTTGATGGATTAATAGAGGGGGAGGTGCTGGAGGTGGATGAGGCTGGCCTTTTTGGTGTCTGTGATGGGGTTTGAGTGGGGGGAGGGTTTTTGGATGCTTGTTCGACAATGTTTTCGATGTTGGTTTTCATGTTTTTGTCCCCACTATTTGTACTTAGATCGATTAGAACATTATTATCTGTTTCCGTATGGTTGATGATAGGATTCGAGTTGTTGTGGAGGGTTGTGTGAAATTCGCTGTTTGAATTTGAGTCAATTAGCATACTATTATCTGCGTCTGTGTTATTGGAGACATGATTGGGGTTTTCGACGAAAATGGTTTGGGATTTATTTATAATTTCTTTTTTGCAATAATTAGAAGTGTGGCCGGTTTGTTTACAGAGATAACATATCACTGTATCATCTGATAGAAAAATGCGATAATCAGTTTGTTCGAAATTAATTAGAATTGAACTGGGCATTTTATTGATGTCGTCAGGATGTATATAAAGCTGACGTCGAAAACTTCCTATGTGATTAAATTCATCATTAGCGAAACCTGCTTTCATAAATGTTATCGGTGAAACTATTTTAATTGATAAATTGTTGAATGCATTAGTAATTACGTCGTGCGGTATGACTGGTTGTACATTGGACACAATTATACGTTTGGCTTGGTTGATAAGACGGCGAAAGGCTATCTCCTTATTGTTTATAACAATGAACGGCTGCTTGGTGATAATCTGTTCTACGATATTTTTGTTTGCAAAATAGATACAAAATCGATTATTTGATATGCGTGAAGCAAATTTAATATTGTTTGGATCAGTAAGTTGACTAAATGCTCTTATGTATTCGATTTGGGGTAAGTCTTCGATGGTATTAAATATTACTGCTTGATCTTTTTTAGGAAATTGAACGTTGGCGGTTGTTTCTGCGAAAGTTTTTTGAGTATTGGATTTTTGAACTGAGGGTGTAGTGACATTGGAGGTTGAATTTAAGTTATCCATCGTGAGGAGATGGATGGGAGATGATGTTACTGAGGCTAGGGGGGGCAAAATAAAGCAACATACCTTAGGCTTATCGATTGGAGCGTTCACGTAGGTATACTGCTATCGGAAGCTATAAATGCGATTAACGTAGACCGGGAACACACGTGTGTATCGGTCGGAGGTCGAACACGTACTGAAATAACTACTTGTAATAGCACTCTGTGTGCTGAAACATTTTATAATTAATTAAATAAAAAACAAAAAAATACAATGAATATTGAAAAATGGACCAATATAATAATAATAATGCCATTATGGCTCACAATAATAACATGATGCGGTAATATAATTTATTAAATATAAAAAGGTGGCGATTTGCGCCTATGACTAGATATTAAAGCAAAAAACAACAAGTATAATATTATTTAACACTTCGGTGTTCGTGGAACGACGAACGAAACAGGACAGATTCACGGCCGCCGTGCTAAATAAAATTCGCAAAGACGGCGCGGCGGTAACGATTAATCTACATATTATATAACTCACAAGACACATTCAATACAAAAATAAAACAATACTAATAATATGATATGTGTGTGAGTTCAGCTATTCCTCCGTGACCAGTGATAATGATAATATAAAAATAATGCTATGTTATTATGTTGCGGCGGCAACACAGTTACTTGAAAATCATTGGAAACCACAAATAGGTTACATACCTATTTCCTTATTCAAGTAACACAAAAAATGGAATTATTATTATTTTTTTTTTTTTTTTAATGTATA